CCCCATCTTGTCTCCTCTTTACATTTCTAAATGGGGAAGAGCGCGGGCAGGGCGGGCAGCCTGTGCCCCTGGAGAGCCCCTCTCCCTCTCTCCCTTCCAACTCTTGCCACTTGCAACTGGCCCGATTTCATTACCAATTTTAATTTGCCTCTAATTAAATCCTGTGTATTTTTCCGACTCGCTTGCTAATCCACGAGGGAGGCGGGCGGCTGGAGTGGAATCTCTTGGAGCGATAATTACAAAGGGCCTAATCACGCCGGGGCTCCTGCCTTGGAATAAATTTGCCCGCATTACGGGGCTCCGATCCTCCGCTTTGCAAATGAGAATGACCCCAATTTCCGAGGATGGCCTCACCGGGGCTTTTTTCCCTCATTTCGAAGCCTGATTCGTGACGAGAGACTAATTCGTTACGCTGAAACATTAACGGCAATTTAAGGGGTCTGGCGGGGGCTGCGTAAACAAAGGGACGAGTCCACAACACGGGCCCTGGAAGGGGACGGACACAGGGGGAGGGCTGGAGAGCACCGTCAGCTTGGCAGATGGCAGCTCTGTCCCCGATGAACGGCAGCTGGCCTGGCCCACGCCGGCTCCCGACCCTTCTGCCCTGGTCTGAAGTGGACAGCATCTCAGGAGGGGGCCAGAGGGGTGAAGGAGGAAGGAGGAAAGGAAGCTGACAGAGTTGAGAGGAGGAGGGACCGCCAGGGGAGAGAAACGGGTGGACAGTGGAGGTGGGAGGGAAAGAGTTGGGTGTAGACAGGGTGCATTTCCTAAGTGACAGGAATGAAGCTGAAGGTCACAGTGGACCTCAAGCTGAGATGAAGTCCGCTGCGCCAGGAGGAGGGCACAGGCCGTGCCCCAAGCGGCAGGAGCAGCAGCAGAGCCCGGCTAACGGGAGGGTCACCCACCCAGTCAGCTTTCTACTGGGACTTGGGCTGGGTGAGGGGAGAAGGAGAGGAAGACTCTGGCGAGAGACACGCCACTGAGATGGGTAACAGGTGGAAGGTGGCATGAAAGGCCACGGGAGGCGGCGCATGGGGGACGGTGGCTGCATGATAGTCATCAAGTGGTTTAAGGAAGTCGCCTCAACCAGTTCCCCCCGAGCTCAAGAAAGGAGAGTGAAAATTGCAGTGAGGTGGTACAGTTAAGAGGGAACAGGAAAAAGAGGGGAGCAGGGAGGGTACTCTGTCCCCAAGGAAGGACTGTCTCATGGAAATGAGGCTCTACACTGTCACCCCTAAAGGCAAAGGGTCAACACGCAACATTAAAGTAAGCACTAGTAATAATGTAATGAATCGTATAGGACTCTGTCATCGAGAAAACCCCATATCCAGCTGGCCTGGAGGTTGGAGACTGCCCTGGGAGGGCCCCAGGAAGGCCCTGCTGGCTGAGAGAGAGGGCAGGACGGTGGTTGGCAGGAAATGACATCACTTGCAGCCAATCACAGCCTCGTAGCTTCTCACCCAGGCTTTGGGAACTGGGCATGGGGACGGAAGATCAGTATCTCCGGTTGCACTTAGCACCCTCCCAGAGCAGAGAAGGCTGGGCGCTGTGCAGACCCCACCCAGTCCTGGGCACTGGTCGGGAGGGGGTTTAGTGACACTTGTTGAAACCCGGTGGGATAGGGGGAGGTAGCCTGTTTAACTGCAGTTTCTGCACTGGCCAGCAGGGGGACCCAAGAGCCAGGGATCCAAGTAAGGTTATGCTAGGGACTCCTCAGGTGTCTCAACTTCCCCATAGGATCCAACACTCCCCTCTCCTTCCCCCACCCCTCCCACCTCTCTGCTGCAAAGACCCGAATCTTCTCACCCATCAGACACACACACAGGCTCACACACACTCACACACACACACAGACACATATACACACACAGAGGCTCACACACATACACGCTCACACACACGCTCACAGACACACAGACCACCTTGGCTATAGAGAAACAAACAGCTTAGCAGCTCAGCCCACATCTCAGTGTCCTATTTTCTAGGGTCCCTCCCTTGCCTGCCTCTGGTCCCTCAGGAAAACTCTTATGAGGTGAAGGTGTTGAAATGACTAATTGGATGGAGACAATTATCTCCCCGCAGCTGATGGCAGAGCTGGGGAGAGTGTGTGGCTGCCTGTGTTTGTGCCCCAGTGTATCTAGACCATGGGTCTCACTCCACCCACGTGTCTGGGCCGGGCTGGCACCCCTCTCACCCCCACTCCATCCTGAGCTTCACAGCATGTGCCTGTAGCCAAGGTATCCGGACCCTTAGGGTCTCCTGTGAATGTAACCAAGCCTCCCTACCAGGCGCAGGCACCGCCGACTCCTGGGGGCCCCACTTCATGGGGCCCGTGGGGAAGCACTCTGAAGAGGAGGGTTTCTCCCCAGAAAGAAGGCAGCACAAGGCTAGAAGGGAGGCGTCATTAGGAGGCAGTTAAAGAACATCATGGCCCTGAAGAGGCGGGTGGGGGCACGTGGCCCAGCCGGAGCCCCTCTCTAAGGAGACTGTTAGGCAGTCTTAGTCCCAAAGGGGTGTGATGTCAGGGGTGCCTGGGGCCCTGGGCCAGGTGAGGGGCAGGCCTCACCTTCCAGGTGGCAGTGTTTCTCCGGAAATAGGCGAACATCCTGGTGAACCAGTTATAGATCTCATTCAGGGTCAGCTGCCTGTCGGGGGTTTCCAGAATGGCCTGTGGGCAAGGAAGGAGCAAAGGGACCCTCAGCCTGGGCCTCGAAGGGTCCCAGGCTTGTGTTCTCCCTCCTGGGATCTCTCTCCTCTGCCTGGCCGCTGACTCGCCGAGACAGAGGAGACTCGCTGCGAAGCCTGTGGCTGGGACGGGTGATGGTGCTCCTGGGGCCGAGCAGGGCTGGCTGGTTACAGCCCAGCCACAAAGGCGCACAAGCCTCAAGAGCTACGCCCTGGTGCGAGGGGCACATGGGTTTCTCTGCAGGGAAATGGCTGCTAGGCCCCTGCAGGAGGGGGGACAAAGGCAGTCTTCTCGGGAGAGACATCTGGGGGTGGGGGCTGCTTGGAATTTATCCGGATTTGGGCAAAGGGCACTCTCTGAGACGGTGTGTGTGTGTGTGTGTGTGAGAGAGAGAGAGAGAGAGAGAGAGAAGAGACAGCAAGCTGACTAAGAGTGACCATAGTCTATTAGGAAATAGTCTCATGGAGTGTGTGTGCATGGAAATGAGAGAATGAACACAGTGGGCATCAGTAGCAAAAAAACGTGTGTGCTCCCAGAGAGGTGGTCACGTGACCAGCATATATGTGGGACCTGCAGCTGAGGAGGGAAACGTGGGTGAGCAGGAGGGGACAGCCCTGAGGGACAGTTCCGTCCCTGGCCCAGGATCCTCCTGGAGGCTGGGACCCGAGACCCGGTGCTGCCTGAGTGCCATTCCCCACCCCCCCTGGCCACCTTCCCTGCTCACCTGGCGGATGAGGGAGGCGTAGGTGAAGGGGGGCCGGACGTCTGCGTTCTTGTAGAACTCATGATTCTGCGCCAGCTCTGAGGGAGACAGGCAGAGGATAAGGTAGCCATTTGGGGGGCCCAGCCTGGAGGAGAATGCTACTCCCACAGCCCTTACCTGAGGAGATGGGGGAGCAGAACTTGTCGCTGCTCCTCCGGCGGGCGGGGCCCCCGCTGTGCAGGGAGGCAGAACCCAGGCCTGGAGGCCTTAGGGGGGTGACAGGGGCAGCAGCTGAGGTGGGGGGGTGCACGAGGCCATCTGGGAACGAGTCTGCTGCAGAGACGGTCACCTTGGAGAATGAGGAGGAGCCGGACACTGGGTTCAGCTGTGAGCAATGGGGCAGGCGCTGAGACCGGCTTGGCGGGTGGGGGTCCAGAGGGCCGGGGCTGGAGGGCTGGAGGGTTCCGCGAGGGCGCGGGCAGGGGAGGCCACTCACTGGTTGACTGAAGGGCTTGGGCTCGGAGGGCCGCATGTGCAGGTGGGCCATCATGGCTTGCAGCCGCTCGCTCTCCTTGGCCAGCTGTGGAGGGTGGAGAGGCCGGGGGTGAGCGGGGGCTGCGCCTGGAGGCAGCCAGGCCCTTTTCCTCCTCCACATTCCACCGGGCTTCCCAGGAAGCCCCTATTCCCACCACCACTCGCCTCCCAGCCTCAGCAGCCCAGCTCCCTCTGGCCCTGCCTCTCTGGCCCCTCACACCCTCAAGGCCAGGACAGGGACTGCCTGCTCCAGGAAGCCCTCCTCGCTTCTCCTCCAGACTGCGTGTCCCAGGCTCCGGCGCACCAACAGGCAGGGCCCTCTTCCTAACAGCACACGCCTTTTCTCCCAACGAGGGCAGAGGCTGTGGCTGAACAACACCCAAGTTCAGTGGCACTTGTGTGTGAGAGGGTCCTCGTGCACTGAATGGAGACACAGGGACGGATGAATGATTCATTCACCCCCATTCATAAGTTCAATAGATCTTTCATGGCAGGGCCCTCTGCTCTGTGCCCGAGGGAAATGGGTCAATATTGATGGGCTGCCTGGCGGCCTGGCCGGAGGAACCTCTTGTGCTATGGAGCTCAGGCTCGGGAGCCAGGCTGGCGCGGCGCTAATCCCAGCTGTGCGGCTTGCTGCTGTGTGACCGGGGGCGAGTTGCTTGGCCTCTCTGAGCCTGTAAAGTGGGGATAACAACAGTACCCACCACGCAAGCCTGTTTAGGGGACTGAGTTATCCAGGCAGCGCATTCAGGACAGCACAACGTCAGTGCTCCGCGTGCTAGCTAGGAATGTGATTTTCGTGTTTACTAGCCTGAGTCTCTTTTCTGGACCTCCCAGCAGAGGGGTCCCAGCCTGACCCTGGTTCACCCCTCAGAATCCAGCTGCCCTCACCTCAGAACCATGGTAACTAGGGCTTAGAAAATAAAAGACGTTGACTCTGACCACGTGACCCCTCCGTAAGACTCCCCACACCCCGCCTGGAAAGCCAGTGCTGTGGGTGGGGCAGGGCAGGAGCCCCGAGTCCGCGTCCCTCGCAGCCTAGGCCGCACCTGGATCTCCAGCTGCTGCACCACCTGCATCTGCACCCGGCACTGGGCCGTGCTCCGGTCGTCCAGGGCGTGCTCCGTGTTGAGGTGTCTTCAGGGGGAGGAGGAGGGGGGAGAAGAGAGAGTTGGCCCTGGGCTTCCTGCTATCACCACCCTCCCATCCCATCCTCCCAGCCCGCCCACAGCCTGGAAAGCAGACAGACCCAGAGATACAAAGAAGGGAAGGGGGTGGGGGGAAATGGGGCAGAGGAGGAAGCCGCCTTCTCATCACCCTCCTTTGATGTCTTTGCTAAAATCCCAGCTACAGAGAGATCTAATTGCAAATGAACTAATTAAGTAAACCTCTGACGAAGCGTGAAAACAATTTGTTTGACCCTGATGCTGCAAGGGTCTGGGAGACAGTGGAGTTAATCAGTCAGTGACAGAGCCTGGCACGGCTGTGGCAGCTGGCCGCCTGCTGCCAGCCGCCTGTCTGCCTCCTGCCCTGCCTGTCCACCGGCCAGGCCTGTCACTGGGCCATCACTCTTGGGGGCTGAAGCTGGGGGAGGTGGGGGGGGAGTCCTCTCCTTCTCCCTCCCCCCACCCCCCTGCTGGCCCGTGCAGCCTGGGACAAGGTGGGAGGCTGGGGAATTCAGGCTGGGCAGGCGGGTAGGAGAGAAGAGGAGATATGTGATGAGGACAGAGGAAGTAGGTCCCCCCGGGGGAGCACAGCAGGAAAGCTGGTGGCTGAAGGCTAGGGGGCAGGCTGGGGGGAGGGACCCTGTGGAAACCGGGGGTGGGGGGGAGGCGGGAAGGAGAGCAGGGTGACACCTACTTGATAAACTGGCCCAGGTCTTCACACAGGGTCTCACAGCCAGGCCACTTGCACTCTCCGTGTCCATAGAGAGGGTGGGAACCAGGGGTCTCCTCATGGGAGGAGCTAGGGGAGGGGATGAAGGTGGTGGTCAGGGACCCTGAAGACGCCAGCAGCCCAGCCCCAGCTCCCCTGCTGGTGGCGTGTCTGTGCTTAACACAGGTTTCCCAGAAACCTAGCACAATTCTGTGTGTCCTGGGAGAGAGATACACTCCCAGGTCCCTGGGCGCCCCTCCCTCCCAGCCCCCACACTGTATGCCATCCCAGTGGCCCGGGGGTGTCCCGGTCTGCAGCACCCCTCCCTAACGTTCCAATAGTCCCAATACCTGTCTCTCCGAGGTGTGAGCACAGTGGGCTGTCCGTTGGGCAAGGTGTGGTGGGAGAGCGGGGGTGAGACTTTGGGGGGGGCGGCAAACGAGGTAGCGGTGGTGGCCGTGCCAGTGAGGTCCAGCCCCTCCTGCTTGACACTGTCCTCAGCGGGCTGCCCGGGGGCACCCTCACCCTTCCACAGCTGGGGCAGGTCTGTTGGGCACACAGCTGCTGTGGGAGAGAGTGGGGAGAGGGGGCAGGGCCTCAGGGACACAGGAGCCTTTCCATCTCACCCCTGGGAGCCGGTGATGCCAGCCCTTGGGTGCACTGAGGGCTGCGGGCAGGGCTGGGGGGGGGGGTAGGGAGGGGGTGCCACTCACCTTGTGGAAGGGTCTGGAGGGGCCCCGAGGCTTGGCTGGGCTGCAGGCTGACCAGCCCCTGTCTCTGCAGGTTGAGCAGGTGCTGCTGCTGCAGCTGTTGCATTTGCAGGAGCTGCTGCTGGAAGGCCAGCTGCTTGTTCCCCAGAGCCTGGTGGGGGGCCCGAGGGGGTGCGCAGAGAGGGGTGCCATCAGCCTCTGGTGCACCGTCTGGCCCCCACCCTGCGGTCACCCCCTCCCAGGGCCTCTCAGCCCCCGGGGCTGTGGGTGCAGTGTCTGAGGCCGCGGCGTCTCTGCTCCCGGCCCAGCTTCCATAGGGCTGCATGCCTGCTCGCAGTAAACACACGCATGCACGCACGCACGCAGGCGCGCAAACACAGCCAGACCCAGCCGCGCAGCACGACGCCTCCCTGCTCCCGCCTCCCTCCTTCTGCTGCTGAGCGCCTGCTCCAGCTCCCGCACCGCAGCTGTGCGCGCCTGGGGGGGGGGGGGGCGCTCTCATCACAATGATCGATGAGCCTGTCAGACTCCAGGGGCCACTCCTGCTGGCAGGCACCCTTCCCACATGCCCGGGGTGCCCCCCTTCTGATCACGAGGAGGGGCCTTCTCCCCTCCACCTCCTCTCTGGCTTCTTAGATACAGAGAATCACAGAGTCTGACGGGACTTTGAAAGATCAGCATCAGCTGGTCAGTAGGGCCCAGGCTCAGGGAACAGTCCTATCCCTGCTGCTGGGGGCACACGCAAGTGCTCTCTCGCTCTCTTCCCCCCTCAGAGTCAGTTTTTCACACAGGCACTGACAAGCCAGGCTGTCGGCAAGTGTTCCAAGCCCATCCGGGGTGCTTGGGAGGCAGGGACCGCTCCCCTGCCTGCCTGCCCTGGGGGTGGGGCTGGCTGGGCAGTAAACCCAGCCTGGAGATAATGCGGAGAATGAGCAATTACAAGGCCCTTGAAGGGGGGCTGAAGCCTGGGGGACTGACTGGACGCCAGCAGGGCAGCCTTCCGGGAAGAGGCAGCTCAGAACCTGGTTGTGGTGTGGCCAGCAAGAGGGAGGCACATGTCTGGGACAAGGAGGACAGGGCAGCAGGGCCTGATGTGGAAGCTCAGAAGGCCCTGGGGCCCAGACGGGGCAGGGGTGCAGGCTGGAGCGCTCTAAGGAGGGAGCAGAGCCGGCTCTTAAAGGAAGGTACAGAAGTTGGGGTGGGGCTGGGGCTAGGGGGCAGGGGCAAGTGGTTTGCTGAGCAACTAAACGATTCTCAGGACCAGAGAGGAGGCCTCAGGTGCTGGGTCAAGAAGAAACAAGTGGGCAGGAAGAGGGCATGACAGCCAGGCAACTGGTCATGCGTGTGGACCATGTGACACTCTTACAAGTGTCTACATGCATGTGCAGAGACGACACAGGGCTGACTTCCTGTTCTCATTAACCAACAACACAAGGCAGGGGGAGGACCGAGTGGGGATGAGGGGCGATGGAGAATTGTGAGCCCCTTCCCTGTTCCCCAGGCTTTTCCTGACTTTCCCACTGCGCCCACCAGGCACTTCTCTCGCAACACCTGGGGACTCCCCGCCTCTGGCCAGGATGGTCTGGGCTGTGGGTGATGATGGGCAGGGCCCTACCCGAGCCCCTTACCTCTTTGGGTTGCTGCTTCCCAGCCTGCTGTTGGGTGAGGAGCTGCAAGTGGAGCTGTTCTTGCTGCTTCTTGTAATATTCCTGCAGCTGCGGGGTGGGAGGCAGGGGAGGAGGGGGAGAGTGCATTAGCAGGGGCAGAGGGCTGCTGACCCCAGAGCAACCCCAGCCCAGTGGTGGCACCTGCAGGCAGGAGTGGGGAGCCTTCCTGGGGCAGTGGGACCTGGGGCCCGGCAGGGAGACTTCTGCTGAGAGAGGCTCCGTGAGTGCCGAAGGGAGAGGGGAAGCTTCATTCCGCACCGCCCAGCCCGCCCTGCCTCTGGGTGGGTCCCCTGAATAAGTCAGGGTGCTAGGAGCCAGGATGTTCCAGCACCTGGCCCTTCCCAGGGGTTCTGGAGGCAGGTGGGCCAAGGCACTGCTCTCTGAGAGGCCTGACCTCTGACCTCCCCCCACTGCCCTGGAGGAATGCAGATCAGTCCGGCCTGAGCAGTCTCTCTGGTTTCTGCCACTCTGTGATGTTGGTAGTAAACAGACCTGGGCGGGGGAGGGGGG